GAAACTTGGAACATTGTTGCACTGATTAAATAAAGTTCAACTGAAAAAGAACCTAATTAATTTTTATTAAGTGGCTCAGTTAAATTATTGAGCATTTTAGTTTGAATAAAATCTCTTTCATTAAGAATAAAACAATCTAACGTCAAATTGAAAGAAGAAAAAAACACAGACTGTTAGAAGTTTAAAATCCTCGATTTTGTACGATTCTGTACATCTGCCGCCATTTAAATTTATTTTGGCATATAAGAAAAAGGATTTGTTATTTTGCTTATTTTCGTTAACAGTGGAGACGGGGATGAACAATGCTAAAAATAAACTAAGGCCATACTATCCAAAAAAGAAAAAAAAAATTACATTTTCTGAATCTGAATTTGAAAAAGAAATACATTATAAAAGCATAGGAAAACTCTGTATTAGTTAACTGTAGCTAATTAAGGTAAATGAAGGAGAGAAATCACCAAAAAATATGTTTACATAATATTTAAATATCTGTAGAATGATTTAGCTTAATGAAAAAACTACAGAGCCCATAAAAAAAAAAAAAAAAAACTAACGAAAATAATTATATTTTAAAAAATTTAAAATATCTCGCTAGCCAAGTTATACAATTTTTTTTAATATCTCTAAGCAAAGCATCCACTCCTGAAATTAAGATATGGTGGACATGGCCAAAAAAAAAATTACATTGTTTTGTTTCGTAAGCAGTTCATATTTTTAATAATTATATAAAATTTACATCATTCCGCTAAGATAATCTCAATTTTTCAGACAGAGAGCGAAAGCAATTTAAGTTACTATATTCTGCAATTTTTTATAAAAGAAAAAAGTCCCTTTGCACTTCGCACCCAACAACAAAATATTTCATGTCATTGGTATTTGTTTTGCAATAACAATGACGTGCATCAACGCCACTCCTTTTATAAATTTCTGAATGAAAACAAAGCGTGAATGACGAGTCGTGTCTTGAATAACCGCCGAGTCAGAGCCGCAACGATATATACCTACTTACCTAACATTAAATTTTATCGGACTCTTATTTAAATAATAAACTATGTTCAATTCATACATTTAATTGTTTTTGCAATAAATACGTCAATAACAGCTGCTGCTATCTTACTTGCGATTAGTTTAAAGAATAAACAAAATTTAAAACAGACAATGAAACATAACGTGAGTAAAATTTGTTTAAATTGATTTAAAACAAAACTTGCTTGCTAACTTAATGTTCAAAACAGTGGATTGAACGACTTAGTAGGCTTGAGATATGAAAATGGGAGTAATAAAAAAGTATAACTTACTTTTATTTTTTCAGGGTTTCTATAAAAATAATCAACCTTGGCTCTAATAGCAAAAGAGAATATCGAAAAATAATAACTTTATTGGTTGCCGTAGACAGTATATTTTGGGCAACTTTTAAATGTCAATAATATTCTACGAACGCACATTATAAAGATAAATTTCTCAAATAAATAAACCATAAATAACGCAAGCACTATAAAAAAAAAAGAAAAAAAGAACAGACTTGTAGGCGCAGCGATCACCGTAAATAATTCATCTGAACATTAGACAGCCAACTGAAGCAAACAAGTGGTCAGGCAAGTAGTAAGGGGGAGCGCAATTCTAGGGAGTGCTAACCCCCATAGGTTCCTCCAGGAACTAAAACTATTTACTTAAAAATGAAGCGGGTTTCTACTAGGATATTTCTCAAAGTAATTTTGAGAGTGACAGAAAAAATTCTCAGCTACTTGATACAACTAACTATTATCATTATAATAATTACATAATATTAAGCACGTTTTCAATTAAAACGATCACAAATTCTATATCCAACCCAAAAAAGTAACCTAAGTAAATGCAAACATAGTATAGTAAGAAAAGAGACGTAACAATATTTTCCTACAACAAATAATCTAAAATCGTACTACATAATTTTTTTTCTTCTTATAGCAATCAACAGTTACTTTTATATGTAATGTTTAATAATTACCATTTAACATAATCATTATGTTTTTAAGATTATTTTTAATACTTATACACAAATATTAATTAGCAACACACAACAATCATTAACTTTATTACCGGAAAATATTTTGTTTCTTAACAGCGTGATATTTACTCGAGACTTAATATCCTCAGTAAAAGGGTTTCTAAAATATTTTAAGCCAATTTTTAACCTTTTCAAACGCCGTATCAATTTTGCTAACCTCCTGAAAAAGAAATTCTTTTAACAGACGAAAATAAAAATTTAGTTACTGTTTTGAGCAATAAATTTAATATTTATTAAAATTACAATGTCAATACATTCTGTAACTTTAAGTTTTATGGCTCATTTTTAATGACTTTAAAAACTATGAGATAGAAATTTGTTATTTAATGAGAATGATCCATATAAAATATTTAATTACGGAAATTAAAAGTAGGTGTTTTCATTTAAATTTAAAAACAAAAATTACTAAAAATATTGACACTGGTCCATTTTTTAGGTTCGCCTCCGATTTCAATACAATTGATTGAACAGAGCGAACTATTTAAAAGGAAAGGGGCGTTGGGAGATCTGGACAAAGGTCAAAGAAGTCATGTCAAGCCTAGGGGTCATGCCTACGGCTTTTAAACCGATGGGACAATACCAATGGAGGCGAAACAGATTTTGCCAAGAAAAGTTCCTTACGCGATATTGCGTCCTCTTAAAATAAATTACCGTTTTTATTATTAGAATGAAAAATTGCGAGATTAGTTAAGTTATACAGTTGGTGTTTTAAACAATCACGAAAGTTTAACAAAACATACGTATTTTCTCCACATGCTGACGGAACAAAAGCCATACTTGCTTTCACTAAATATATATATATATATTTTAAGTATGGAGCTTTATGTTAATCTGCATATACAAAAGGAAAAGCTTTGACTCATCTATAATGCTCTCACTTTCCATGAAATTAGACAACTATATTTTTAAAACATGTAATCTTTAGGAGATAAATGGAGAAATTAAAAAGTTTTGATTTCAATATTTAGTAACTATAGCGGCAATTAGTACAATCGACAATAAAGCTAAAAAAAAAAAAAAAACAGGATCTCACCAAGATGGAAAGCTTAAATTTTAACCATGAGTTAATTAAAAGACTAACTAAGTAAAAAAGTAAAAAAAATCCTTTTTTTTTTGTACTCAAGAGTTAATTACCGCAACTGAGAATTATGCAGATTAAAAATTACCACTACTATAATTTTGACCACGTGATCCTTATCAGATAAAAGGAAAAATTGAAAGTTTTATTTCGATATTTACTAATTATCAGGATAATTATGGGGTAATTAGTCAGAATGACAGTGTTAAATAACACTTTTTTCATAACAGAAGTCTCTAATCTAAATCGCACGTTCCTTATAGTTTTCGATATTTGGTAATCATCATAATTAACCTGATTACGTTTAGCTTTAACATCGTCAATTCTGGCTCTTCTATTAAACCACGATAGTAGGTAGACTACTTTTGTGATATGGCAAAACGTATCAGTTGATGTATTCGAACCCGCTGCACGTGTCTAGTGTTTAAATAAAATAAAGGCGAGAATACTTTCTTTTAAGAAATATAAACATTCTCTAATGCCAATTTTTCACCGAATCTGCCAGGGTCTTATCCAAAGAACAGCATTAATATTGCATGAAAATGTGTTCGTATTATCAAGTAATTCGATAATATTTCAACTGTGCTTCTGTCTCTATAAGAGCATATCCTTTCCCCTCCTCGCCTTGACGTCGCCAACATGCACCGACGTCAAGGCTATCTTTTTTACTTTCTTTTATTCATTTGTTAGGAATTATCTTTCATTTTGAATATTTGAGATTTGAATTTTTAATTACATATATATGCAACTTAAAACGTTTCTTTTACGTTAAATTTGATAAACAGGGTGACAATTTAAGATATCAGAATGAATTTTTATTTTTTAATCTAAGCTTATGTAATTTCCAATTTTTCCCCCAGATACATTTGATAATTTCAACTTAAATTCCTAAGAAAAATTAAAAGAATAAATTAATGAAAAAGAAATCTAAGAAATGCTTTTTATGAGAATTTTTATTTTTGGTTTCTAAACCTATTAAATGTAGTTGTATTTTGAATTTTTTAACACTGGTATGTTATTTAAATTTTTGGTTAGCGTGTGATAAAAAAGCATTAGTTTTTGATTTACTTAATGTCAAAGTTAGTTTAATTTTATTTTCTGCAACCACTTACTCTTACATTTAGTTCAGGAGCAATTTATTATTCAGTTATTAAATAAAACCAAGGCGGAAAGGGCGAAACTGTATGTAATAAACTGTGAGCAGTTCCGGGGGCTGGTGAACGATGCAGAGCACAGGGTTGTCACAGTAAATAGTTGCTTTTAGTAGCCTACAGCATGAAAACAGTTGCCTAAATAACAAATATTTTTCAATAATATGACTAAAATTTTATTAAATGACTTAATTGTTATACCATGATCTATTTAGTCAAGTTGATGGCAAATATGATAATATTTATATAAACGTTAGTGTTCCTAAATTTTTATATCAAAAAAATTAGTATATTTTCAGAAAATTAAATACTTTTGATTACAAAAATTCATTGAAAAAAATACTTCTCCATTGTCTAAAAAATTCCCTTTCATCAATAATTGATTCAACAAATTATATATATAAGTTCAAAATGTAGAGAAAACGTGGCAAAAATTACAGAACAATGAAACTAGGTAAAAAGAAAAATCCGAAGAAAAATAAAATTACTAAAAATCAGGAAATTAAAAGAACCTTTTCATCAGCTCACACGATTATATCCGCCCCCAAATTTCATAAAAACGGACGTTCTTACAAAAGGAAATAACCGTCCCTGCCTACCAGTTATAGATAGCTGGTACTTTTTTTGTTTTTAAATCTAATAAAAAGTTGCTTTACATGAATAATAGAAAAAAATATAGCACTGAATGCAATAGCTAAAATTAAACTTGAAATAAATCAATTACCTGGAGACCTGGGAGAACTTTCCATTCCAGAATCTAAAAAAATAAATAAAACTTATATTTATTTCAAAACATTTAACCATTTCCAAAACAAAGAAACAGAATCGTTAAAAAAATAAACTGCAAAACGAAACTATTTAACCTTGAAAGTCTGTCATTTACAAATTAATTTCATCCTGAAAAATGAATAATAGATTATTCAAATAAACACTTCCAGTTTCACTGTGCAAATAAAACCCTCACACTAAAGATAACAGATAAATGACTTAGTCAAGGAACGTTTCCTGATTTACATAGGTTATTATTTGTTTCCCCTTTGACAATTAAGACTATTTTTGCTAGCAACGAAGAACAAAATTTGTAAAAAATATGCTTACATACTATTTGAATAACCTTAGTAATTCCAAAGAAATATATTGAAAGTAAATTTAAAAATTGACATACGGCAAATTTGCCAAAAACGCATGTACCCGAGTAGAAAAAGAAAAGGCAAAGCACTAACTTTAAAATAAATCGAAACAGACTGAAAATTGAATGTAAAATAATTCAATTCTCAAAACACGATAAATTAATATATCGATTAACATTACATACATTTGATAGTTAAAAAAATAAAATTGCAAAAGATATAAAAATAGCAGTAAATAGTTAATTGCATAAAATAGATTGAAAACAAAAGCATAAACAAATTGCAATTCATTTCAAACAATATTTTTAGAATAAAAAATGAGCAAAATTAATCCAGTAATATTAAGACTTTTTCTAAGAAAAAAATAATATCCACGATTCTTTTTTTATAGAATTATATCCTCTTAATTCAGTGTTTCTCAAACTTATGACTTTTGTGTACCCTTTCTAAATTTTTCGGAACGCTGTGTACCACTAGTAAAAAATGAATGTAATTTTTTAAAAATATGCTTTTCTTTTTTGGTACAAAGTTTTGTTAATAAGTTTCTTTCTATCAGTGAGAAGGATGATATTGTATTTGCTGTGATAAAAAAATTGCACTTAAGTTAAAAATCATAACTAGCTGTTGACACCACTAATTTTATTAACTGTCAACTCTGCAAAAAAAAGCCAATAGAAAAATATGTAATCGTAAATTTTCATGGCTAGCTCAGGCAAAGTGAGGCATTGTTTCTGATGTATTTTTTCACGCTGAATGGAATGAGACCAATATCACGAGACTATAGGATGAACAGTCTAGTTATAAGAGCTTCATGTACACAAAGTAAAAATTTGTACATGTACCCATCTACTTATATATCTAAGCAAGAATTTATTTCCTATTTATTCCTTTACGCTGAATCGACAAAATTACATTAGAGTAAATAGAATGAAGAATTCAGAATATATAAATGTTCGTGTATAAAAAGTACTATTTTCGACAAGACTTTTGTACACTTTATTCATACTTTTGACTTGCATAGTCTTAATCGATTAAGCGTAAGAAATCACATTAGGAACAATGTTTCGCTTGCTTAGATATCAATGTTAGTACATAAATCGACATAAGTACAAAAATATACATAAAACCCTTTTAACAACTTAACTATTGGTCCGATCATCTTTTCATTGTTTTCATTAGATTGAGCATAAATAAATGCATCAAAAATACCTCACTGGCCTATTACCTGTATAAATGCTATACAATTCTTTAATATCACTCTCATGTTACCTCTGAAAAGAATGAAGCATATAGAAGAGAATAAGAGTTTCCAACCATTGTTTATAATGACATAAAGCTGTCTTTGATGAAAAGTCCCAGGTATTAATTTCTCCAAAGAAACACCCTTTTTTTTTAGAATTACTGGACTAAATAAGATTTAATTGATTTAAATAATGAGCACCATAACGTTAACCTAAAAGCTCACGAGTCAAGTCTGTTGCAAGAATGAGTAAATGATTTTAAATCAGAAATATTAACAAAAGAATAGAAAATGTTTGGAGAAAAATCTACCAAAATCCTGCCAATAAATAAATGAATGGCAACTCAATTGAAACAATATTTAAAAAAAAGAAAGAAAAGGAGCAAAGTAAGATTTAATTTAATGGTATTTTAAAAATTTTTTAAGATAGGAGACTATGTGGAACTTAAAACTGCATTTTTTGGAATATATTTATTCTTCACCTCCCCAGATGACATATTTGAGGGTCATTCCACAAAGAGAGAGAACAAAATATATATAGTAAAGAAAAAAACTTATTTTTCTGACACTACAACTTATAATATTTATAAAGTCAAAGGTTCAAATTAATTGAATTTCAAGTAGTTTTTAATACATTTGTTTCATTTTAATAGCAACAGTCAGTGAAACATTGAGAGACCCAGAACATGCAGTTAAAACTGCTTTTTGACAAATTTTAAGCCAGGGAATTTTATTTTGACAAGTAAATCAATTGCACTCAGATTAAATAATTAATTGTTCTTAGTTTCATTATTCTTCAGTGAATTTAAAATAAATTTTGTTTAAGAAATATTTTGTTGAAATTTCATTGAACATCTGTCCTGCACATGAAAGAAAATGGATTATTTTTAAATAAGGTAAAGGAATATGCATTATGATTTCAAATTTTATATTTAAGCATTGATTTAGCATTCCTATGGAATGAATTTATAGATATACAACTTTTACCAAAACAAGTTTTGAATATATTTTGCCCCGCACGCCCGAATAGTTACTCATGAGAGTGCAAGAATCCTTCTCACTGAATCCGCTCTCGGCGTATGCATGTGTGGACCTATATGTCTTTCAAACATACAGTTAAAATGATTGGCGCTTCAATACACTAAAGACCGATGGTACATCAAAATTGATTGTGGTGGAATGAATTGTGAAAACTTAGAATAGAACCAGTCGAAAACTCTGCTTTTTGCATAACTCTGGGCGAAAATTGAAAAGGTAAAGAAAAATATATCACTTTAAAAGGGAAAATTAAGCATTTTTTAAAAACACTAAACGAAAAAAAGCCCCTTTAAAGGCTGTTAACATAAATAAGCTGCACTTTAAAAATGCTATGCACACTCTAAAAAATAGTTTAGTATTAAAATTCTCACACTATAAGTGATGCATTTAAAACTTATGGACATAAAAACTGTCTCATATTGGTTTATATAAAACAGTTTAGGGATATAAAGAAAGTTTAAACTATCCAGAAAAGTTTTTTGGCAGCATCACTGTGCTGTTATATATAGAAACCGCATCTCCTAGGTAAAACATTTATTATACATCAATGGAAATTATTGGCTCTCATACCAATACCAAGCACTCAATAGATCTGAAAAACTCACGACATCTAGTTTTTGTGCCAGCAGCACAGTTTGTAAGGGAATAGAAATAGTGGTTGGAAAAGGTAAAGAATATTCTCAGACCAATAATATTTTCCAAGAACAGTTTTATCAGTTTGAAATCTCTCTTAAAATTATAGCGCTCTTAATGAATACAATCTTTTTCAAAAGTAAAATCTGATTATTGTTATAAAATTTTAAGTTCTTCTATACAAAAATAGATAAAATAAGCCTTTTGATTATACACAATTTTTTAATAAACTAAGATGTGTTAAAAATAATAGAAATCAAAATATTGTAAAACTGCAGTTAATTAGAAACTAAATTTAAGGTCCCACTTTAACTAACCAATAAATCCGCATATAAAGTTATTATATTATATCAAATCAATTATCTAGTTTTCTTCCTTTATTTTATTATTTTTTCTTCACAGCAAACAAGATGAAAATAACAGCTAAGTTTGTATATCTTTTTACATCAATCACTCAATAATAAACCACTAATTTTTTCCTCAAGCTATACACATCTAATTTTTTTACTACTCCATTATTTAGAGTCTTTGCCCTATTTCTATAAAATAAAAATAGTCTATTTGACATTGTCCAGCATTTCAAAAGGTGGGGGGAAAATAAAAATAAAAATTTAAATACAATAATAGTACAAATTTTGTTTCAGCATGCAGGCGTTAAAGTTCAATCTTATTCATTCATTACTGTGCTGCATCATTACTTGATCATTTTGCAATAATTATGAAAATTAACTATGCTTACATTTAAACGTAATTTTTATTTCTATTTAACAGAAATATTTGTATCATATTTAAGGAAAAACAAATTTTAATATTAAAAATAAATGAAAGATTTTATGAATTTTAATCTACTGATTTTCTCTTAAGACTGATTTCAGCCCCCAGGACTTAAGAGTGGCGTCACACATGTAATAGTTCCACACTTTATGAAAACATAATAAAATAGCCTTCAGCATAAAAATATCAGTTTAAGGAATCTATAGGTTTGAAGCTTTAAGAATTATAGGTCCATTCCATGATAATTCATCATTTTTTACAATAAAAAAAATTATAGCAATAATTTATACAAAATTTCCCCAGGGTGACATGTGCACCCTTGCTATTTGGAATTGCAGTACTCAGAATAGTAATAGAATATAGTACTTGGAAGATAATATATTTAGCAGTTGTCAGCTTTTGTATTTTTTTTTTTTTTAACGAAGGGTTCGGTAGAAATGTTAACAAGGTGGGAACTTAGTTTTCTATCCTAGCAATATAAATCAAACTTGTTCTTCGATTGTGAAATTCTATAAGGGTTCGCCAAATACAATAAAAAGAAAGTAATTTAGCATTAAATGTTAAAACATCCCCCACCAAGGGCGCAAGGAAGTTCCATTGAATAAACACAAACAAACGATGTTAATGCTCAACATAAAGTAGATAATTTCAACATAAAGTAGACATTCATTAAATTTGATCCAGTTTAGTTTCACAATGAAATAAATTATTAGAATAGCAGAAAGAGTAAAATTATTCTTACCCCTAACTAATTACGACAGCAGCTTTAAAATTATGAAAATATGCTTAAGAAAGAAGGAGTCAGTAATCCGGTTAAGGAAACATTTTGTAATTAGCAAATTTTCCAACTAAAATCTCTGGACCCGCACCAATAACCAACAAACGTGACCAAAGGGAAATAGTGAAGTAGTGAAGTCAGCTGCCAAAACTAGCAAAAGGGTTGCCAAATGCTTGAACAATAGCAACAATGCTGCCAATGTTGTTCTTAGAAAGCTGAAATATGTTGCCAAAAAACCCAAATCCCTTATAAGACAAGTTGTGTGCGATTATTATTGTTATTAGTTTGTATTAAAGATTTGCACTCTTATTGATTCAAATTTCATAAATTCTTGCTAAAGCTTCGAGATTTTTTTTAAAAGTTTACAGTGATGAAACACCTCGCAGACCCAAAATGAGGCCATAAGAATATTTCACACTTAGAAAACAAATTGGCGAGAAAACTTTAAACTAAATCTAGGGACACAATTTTTGTGCTGGCAACCCAGATTTATAATCTTTCTAAATGCTCGGATTTGATTGGTCGAAATCAAAAACGTAAATATATTTTTGCATATAGCTTTTTTATTGCAGTAAATATGATAACGCAATAAAGAAAAGATTTAAATTCTATTATGATCTAGTATTCAGAATATAATTTCATTTCCTTAAAATTTCGCAAATCCTTCTCGAATTTAGTAGCTGAAAATTTGGAAATTTAGAGTAGCTTACATTTTTGAAGGCCATTTTCTCTGTATGCGGCACACGCACTTTCGTTAGCAATCGAGGGAAATGAGAACCCGGCGAATATCGCAGGTGCGTGAGAAGTGTGAACAATCCCTATTGGCGAACTCTCTTCGCATGCTTTCCGCGTGTGGAAAGTCTTGGAAGAAAGAAGTACGTCAGTTTCTGTTTTGGGTTATTTAATTTTATTATATTTTATTTTATTACCCATTGTATGGTGACCTCACTTTTCAACTTCATTAATCAAGATTAATAATAAACAGTGCGCATGCTTTTTTATGGCGACCGCTGCTATATGATAAATTTTAGAATTCTATTTTTCACTTTTAATTTTGTTATGCATCAAGTTGATGAGTTTATTTTTCAGATATGGGACCAGAGAGATCACATAAATACTTCTTGAGTTGTGAACAAAAGAGATTTTAATTATTTGAACTATAATTTTGTTTTTATTGCAATCAGAAATTCTAACCTACAATTCAAACTGGATCGTTTTCAATACTAATTCAGGTGAATATCGCAAATAAAGAGGGAATACCTTAAGCGTTACACACAAACAGAAAAACGAAAGGATTCCGTTCGCAAACGCAAGCATGAAGCCCGTTCCTCACAAAAGCACCAAAGTGGTTGAGACAATTGAACCCTACCGAAGAACGAATGGTGACTCTCCAAACCCCTTTCATGCAAATGCGAGAACTGGGTGTTGATCACCTGTTAGGGATAAAAGAATCCAATGTCAACGTACCCAAGAACTTGCACGAGACTGTAAACTGTCTTCAGCGCAATATAAATGATTCATTCACTATTCGTGTAAAATTGAATAAAAGCCTAGTTTTCAAATCATATTTCATGTATGAACTTGTGAATTCGAAGCGGGTGTATGATGCGACTTACAATCTCCTTCAAACACCATTGTACCAATCCGAAAATGTTATTGATCTCGATCGGCTGTTCATTGTCTATTCAGTCATCAAAAGAATTTACACAGAATGTGTCTGAGCTGCATTTAAATATGTCTGCAAAATTGTGTTCCGAGCAGTTCAGGATTAACAGTTAAAGATGTACGATATGAAAACACAATAAAGTTTCTTCTCCAAAAAAAATTTGACAACAACCATTTTGCCAATTGGTAACCCGTGATAGACCTTGTGGCTATCACAATTTTCTTCATTTTGTAGTGAATCGTAATTTTTAAAATTTTTTTTATAATTTTATTTTATTTTAATCTAAAGAATTCAGTTTTATTTTGTTTTAATCTAAAGAAATCATTTTGTAAATTCAAGTTTTTTTTTCATTATCAACAAATGTTTGTGACAGCTTTGTTTTCTAGCAATTGGTTTCAGTATTTTTCCGAACTTAATGTAACATTTGAGTAAGAACTGGAATGTGGTGATAGAATTGAGATTAGGGCATTTAAGCAATGATGCAAAGAGGATTAATTTTTAAAAATTTATTGTTTCTTCAGGTTATTTTTAATTAAAAAATAAAATTTTATTTCATATATTTAACTTTTTTTTCGTTGCTAAAAATTCGGGTTTATACGTATAAGAAAAAAAGAGTAAGTCAAACTTATTTTACTAAATACGAATAATTTTTTTTATGTGAGAACAAAATCATATTAAAATTTTAAAATAATGCCCGTTTACTTAGTTTGCACTCATAATAATTTCGGGAAAAAAGTCTCTCTCTCCAATGTGAAATAGTTAGAGCTAAAATTTGTTATCACTAAGTAAAATAAAAAATAACTGGAATAAAATATCTCACCTATCGTTTTCCTTTTTTACAAAAAAAAGAGGAAAAAAAAACTCATCTTGATACTGAAAATTTAAATTTTCGCTTTGTAAGCAATGCTAAGCCTATCTATTGTAGAGGTACTCCTTTACAGACTACAGATGTTTTTCTGACTATTTCAACATTTAGAATAAGTGAAATTAGAATAATTTCATACAAAAATAGAGATACCACGATGTTGAAACTAATAAATATTCAAAATGTGACTCAAAAGATAGCAACATATTCATTTTATTTTTATCGCCTTTTTAATTTAATATTCAAGTTCAATTTAAGCCTGGCTCAGTTTAAGGTTGGAAAATCTTAATGCCGAAACAACTCATATTAATCGGTGAAAGGATGAGCCGGAAGCTTTCTGGTAAATTACCAAGTTATCTAAGCTCCAACATTAAAAACGTTAAACATTAAAAAAAAAAAAAAAAAAAAAAAAAAAAAAAAAAAAAAANTGTCTTAAAAAAAAAAAAGAAAAGAAAAAAAAACAATATTTATCACGTAAATTTGACCAAGCAATGAAAAAAAAAAGAAGATTTTCTTACCTACGTTATTTTATCATATAATTTTGACAATTTTTGTTACTTGTAATTTAGTAAATTATTAAACTACTTGCTGTCTACGACCTCTTGCTAGCTATCTTTCGCGAAATCCAGGAACAGCTTTCACAGTTCCCAGGTGACCCGAGTTTGCTTAGCTCGATTATAAAACATAGCAATCTCGCATTCTTGTTTTAAAATTAAATGCTGCGGGTACATAGATCAAAACTGTCCGACTTTTCGGCATTACTCAAACATCAAACTTGCGCGTCTTTAGTCACTGAAAAATGTAATGCATACAATGGTTAAAATCTTAAAGTACAGATCAAAATTTCACATTTGTATTTTTATACAAAGTTTTATACAAAATTTCACATTTGTATAAAAGTAAACTGACATAATTCAGCAAAAAGAACACAAAACAATAATTTTTTTTAAAAAAAGAAAAAAATTTGGATCAAGAAAGTTTATTTTAATTTTAAATAATATATTATGCTGATGTTTGACACTTATATTAGGTATGGTAGGTAACAGAAATCAAAGGCCTTAGTGAATAAACATCTTCATGCTTGTTTATCGATCAATATTTAAAAATTAATTTATAATGAACTATTTATGTTTAAGTGCTTTTTTCTCAAAAGCTACACACTAAATTTTCAAAAAATAATCATTATGAATGATGTTTAAATTATGAATTATGTTTATTTATTTATTTATTCTGGTATCAGAAATTAATGGTGGATAACAAAAATTAAAAACCTTGGTGGAACAAATAACTTCATGTTTGTTTGTAAATCAAGTTATTAATTATTGACTGCTTATATTCAAGCACTTTTTTTGGCGAACGTTACGCCCAGAATTTGAAAAAAAAAAACTAGCATTATGTTTAAAGTATAAATTACGTTTATTTGTTTATTTTAATGATGAAATTATGTATTATATTTATTCATTTATTATTAATCCAAATTGCTTAGTTTTCAAAACAAATATTTTAAATAATAAAAAGCTTGTGTCAATTTATTTCCTTTAGTACGCATATTTCAATCATCTGTTTGGTATCGATTGCTGTTAGAATAGAAAAGGAGCAATACGAAATTCTACAATAATTTAAGTTTGAATTTATTCGTTGCAAACTGGAGAAAAGGAGAAAAAAAAAGAAAAAAAAAACTTGATTATTTTCTTATTCTTTGACCTGATATTTGAACTTCTTTCGTTAGATTATTGCTGTAACATACTATATTAACATTTTAAGAGGTATTTAAACTTTCGTTTTTTAATGTAATTGAAGCATAGTTGTAGTCAATGGGACTAAGTAAATTCAGTCCATTTTCCAGGGTAACATAGATTTATTATAGATAGACAATAGATTTTAGCAGTAAAATTTTATTTTAGTAGATTTTCCTATAAATTTTTAAGTCAAATTATCAAATGAAATTTTGCCAAATAATTGTTACGAGCGAATTAAAAAGATCGTTCAATTGTAATAAAAGCATGCATCTTCTTTAAAAGAAGAAATTTGCGCAATTCTTTTGTTTTAATTAACTAAGAGTTTAGAAGCAGTAGTGAAACGCCATTTAAAAGAAATTTTTTTTGAAGNAGCTGCAATAAAAATGTCAAAACCTTTTCGATTGCCAGTAAGAAAAAAATTTGTAACTCCATTATTAGTAACGCCTCTAAGTTTTTTCCAGCAACCACACCAGTTTTGAAGCTTTTCTGCTCAACTTCCTCAGTATTGATTCAACAATAAACAATGCAAGTACCTGAAGGATTGCCATTATTTGGTGAGAATATTAGCGAAACATTTACAAACGTTATTTAAAAAAACAATGAGAAAATATTCAGATTGAACATATTGTTAAATTTTAAAACTAACTGATAATAATATGTTTGCTACAATACATACGAAATGTCACTTGGTTTCTTGCAGCTAGGTACATACTTTAGCCGAGAGGGTTAATTTGTTAATATAATAACTGGTTGAACTGGGGTTCGAATCCCAGCGTTGACACCACATTTCCTTCATTCTTTCAAAACATGAGGAGTTTCCACTGTCCTGTACTTCTCAAATTTAAAAAAAAGCAACAAATATATTAAATATGCATAAAATGCATTTATGATATAAAAACTGTAATTACATTTTTATGCTTCTGTTCGGTTTGGAATTGAGAGCCCATTGGAATTGTTGGAATCTGAGATTTCACAAAAGGAAAAGAAAGAAATCTCATAGGATCGACTTCGTA